TCCTCAAGGTGGTTTGGAGGAAAGGGGAAGTACCAGAAGCCTGGAAGGAAGCAGAGGGAATATTCACGCCCAAGGAAAGGAACTCCAAGACAGTCAATCAGTTCCGGACCATCTCGCTACTAAATGTCGAGGGGAAGATATTCTTCGCTATCCTGGCCAGAAGACTTACCTCTTTCCTGACGACCAACGCGTACATCGACACTTCAGTCCAGAAGGGTGGAGTACCTGGTTTCTCCGGTTGTGTAGAGCACACCAGCGCTATCACCCAACTAATTCAAGAGGCGAAGACGGGGAAGAAAGACTTGACAGTAGTTTGGCTCGATCTTGCCAACGCATACGGATCTATTCCCCATCAGCTGATCTACACAGCCCTCCAGCACTACCACGTCGACAACCATGTCCAGAAAATCATCACCAGCTACCTTGACGGCATCAAGCTTCGGTTTTCTGTTGGTGACCAGCTGACGAAGTGGCAGAAGTTGGAGAAAGGTATAGTCACCGGATGTACTGTTTCTGTGGTACTCTTCGTCATGGGGATGAATCTGCTCATCAATGCTGCCATTAGAGAGACCCGCGGACCAAAGACAGAGTCAGGTATCTACCTCCCATCAAGCCGAGGTTTTATGGATGACCTCACGTTGACGACACCAACACACGTCCAGGCTAGATGGATGTTGACAGCACTGACAGACGTCGCGTCATGGGCCCGAATGAAATTCAAGGCCGTAAAGTCCAGGTCCCTCATTATCAAGAAAGGCAAGACGACAGACAGATTCGTGCTCCGAGTACAGAACGAGGAGATCCCATCCATCACGAAGAACCCAATTAAGTGCCTTGGGAAGTGGTTTGATGCCAGCCTAGTAGACAAGGACAACGTCAAGAAGCTAGAGAACCAGGTAGAAGACGGGCTGAAGAAGATAGACCGGAGCAACCTACCTGGGAAGTTCAAGGCCTGGTTGTACCAGCATGCCTTACTACCAAGGCTGATCTGGGCAATGATGCTGTATGAGGTACCTAGCTCAACAATAGAAGCCTTAGAGAGAATCACCAGCCGACATCTTCGCAAGTGGCTTGGAATCCCACCCAGTTTCTCCAGTGTTGGACTGTATGGGAAAACCAACAAACTGCAACTCCCACTATCTTTACTGGTTGAAGAATTCAAGACGGCGAAGACAAGACTGGTGCTTACCCTAAGAAACTCCCCAGATGAGCAGATCCGGGAAGCAGGGACCGTTACCCGTACTGGAAGAAAGTGGTCAGCGACAGAGACTGTCAGCCAGGCGGAGAGCTCTCTCATGCACAAGGACATCGTCGGTGTAACGGCTGTCGGACGACAAGGTATTGGTGCAACCAAAACACTCCTATGGAGCCAAGCCAACCAGACTGAGAGGCGAGCCCTGATACAGTCAGAAGTACGGAAGGAAGAGGAGAACAAGAGACAGGCCAGAGCGGTAGAGATGGGTGCGCAGGGTGCATGGACAACGTGGGAAACCATGGAAAGGAAGCTGACCTGGGAAGACATCTGGAAGTATGAACCACTTCGTCTATCCTTCCTCCTCAGGTCAGTTCATGACCTCCTGCCATCTCCAGCTAACCTATGCCGATGGGGACTAATCACAGACCCAACATGCAGTCTGTGCAAGAAACCAGGCACTTATCCACACTATGAACCATGTAAATCTTATTTTTGTAGTCGGCAACTTGGGTTATTTTCGCATGCGTTCTTTTTGGAATACTATTTGGGATATTTACCATATTAACCGCCCGCACAAACGTCTCATTTTTCATCGCAAAACATTTCAGTCTTTATTATATCATTCATACAAATCATTTAATAACAACAAAAAACTTTTTTGATACATTATACTCAGTTTATAAATAGATTAACATGTACAGTATCTTGGACTGTGTGAGAAGTTCTCACTAGTATTAAAGACCAACGATGATATGTAATCATTAAAGACACAGCTTGATCAAAAGTATAAATATTTTTAAAAAAATGATTAAATGTTAAAATATTTGCACTGCTATACGTACAAACTATTGTGAGTAGTAAATAAACACTTGGAAATATAAATACATCGACGGATACCGTAAATTTATACAGATTCGATGGTAAAAGTGACTAAAATATCTACTCTTTGTATCCACAGACACTTAGGATGTTGAGCTTAAAGCGCCTTTAAAATCCAAATAAAATGTATATTTGTCAATCCCAGCACATGTTCTAATCATAGATATCAAAAAATTAATATAAGCCGTTTTGTAAAAAAATCACATTTCAACGTCAATTACCCAGCAAACATTACATATAGGACCGATGTCGGCCCGATATCATTTTCAATGTCGGCCCGATATCGGCATCCGAAGTCGGCTGGACATCGGATGTGCAATCATGCTCAAAGTCGGGCCGTTATCGGATGCCAATATCGGTTTACCGACTTACAGCCGATTTTATACCTACATTCATAATAAGATTTTTTTTCTTTCTTACAGCATATTGGTTTGCTTTCCTTAACATATAACAGAAGTATAAATACCCAAGTACTTTCGGCGTATTATGCCATCATCAGGGGTGTATTACATGTATAATGTGCACACAATCGAGCACAAAATCTCAATACGTGTGTACTGTATAGTATCAAAAATTGAACTGAAACACAGTCGCTAGAAAGGTGAAACATTACATCGATTATGAATAGACCGTTATTGAATGGTCATTGTGTAGTACTTAACAAAAGAAATTATAGCCTGCGGTCTATATGGCATAAACGCGGTTAAATATATCTATAAAAGTATGTTTAAAAAAAAATATATATATATATATATTAAATAAATAAGATTTCACATATCAGGGCGTTGGTGTTTTTATTATTAAAAGCATGCACCCAATTGATTAATGAACATAACTCAATTAAATATAGATGTTTTAAAAACTTCAATGAAATTGATTTTCAAGTAGACCTTGCTTTATATGATCTTGAATTAGTCGAGAACATAATTAATCCGAATGAATCTCTTAGCTTATTTTACTCCATTTTAAATACTGTCAAGTATATCCAAAATATTTGAGCGCCATATTGCCAAACAAATACACTCGTTCTTTGAAGAAAAAAAAAACATAATTCATAATGAACATTCGGAATTTTGCAAAAACCATTCTTGTAATTGATACTGCACTCATTAGTTTTATATATACTTGGATAAAAGATGTTGACAGTGGAAAAAATATCGGGACTGTATTCTTACATTTAAAGAAAGCCTTTGATTTGGTTGATCATAATCGAAATACTTCTGCACAAACTTAAGCTTTATCATTTTTCTGAAAATGCCGTAAAGGTTTTTAAGTCATATCTTTCTAACATAATACAACTGGTAAAGATAGGTAATCTTCAATCTCAGACAATGAAAATAATTTCCGGTGTTCCACAAGGTTCAATATTAGGACATTTATTATTTCTAATATACATAAATGACATAGCTTTCATTGGTAATGATAATTATAAAATTTGAATTATACGCAGACGAGTCTACTCTTTTTTATGAGTCCGGAGAAAGGTTATCAAATTTAGAATTAAAACTTCAAGATCATTTAAATAACATTGAGACATGGTGCAAAATCAATAATATGGCCTTAAATCCTGAAAACTCAAAATGTATGGTAATAGGAACAAGACAAAAAGTAGATATTATGAGAAAATTGTATCTTAAGATAAATGAAATAGTTCTTGAAAATGTAACTGATCAAAAAGTCCTGGGTATTTGCATAGATAACAACTTAAAATGGCACTTGCAAATTGACTATGTTTTTAAAAAAAACTTAACGGAAAAATTGCTTTATTGAAAAAAATATCGTGTTTTTTGCACTTTGATATAAAAATATTGTTTTACAATGCATTTATATTGCCCATTATAGACTATATTATTGTATTATATGGGGTAACGGAAACACAAACTGCAAAAATAATGTTTGTAAATTACAAAAACGAATTGCTAAAATCATTTTACAGCAACCACAAAGATATCCGTCAATGAAGCTATTCGAAGCTCTTAACTGGTTACCGTTCCTTGACGAGGTCATTTAGTCTGAACTACTAGTATTTGAATTGGTTAAAGGGAGACACAGGCAAAATTTTCGTTTCTTCATTTTGATTTTTTCATTCAAATGTTATTCTGTAAATGTCAACAAAATAAATACACTACGTACGAAGTCACAGGAACAAACTTAAATTGTCTCCTTATAAAGAATAAAATGGAGGTTTCCTATCTTGACCCACGCGGGTCAGGTTAGAGCGTTAAGATTTCAAAATAGTTGTAACAGTGAACTCTGGAAACGTTAAGAGCATGTCAAATGAATGACTTTGACTTGTTTCAACCAAACAATATCCACAAGACAAGTAACTTTAAGAGTTAATTTGTTCAGGTCACATGACTTAATTGTTTTAAAACTACTCGGTGATTCTGTCTACATCTACATTTCGTTCAACATATATAGATGTATTTATGCTTCAAATCCAAATAACATTGTATATAGAATTTATACAGAAATTCATGTTGGGACTTTAACAAAAATGTCATTTAGCATTATTTTAGTATATAACATCATTTTGATATTTTTGTCAATAATTTGCCAGAGTATCTCTTTGAAAAAATCGATTAAACTTCTGTTATCTTTGTTTAATCAATTCAATATTTATTCTGCAAAAACATATACATGCCCATTACCATATGCTAAATATACAATATATCTGTGCCATTGCCAAAGTAGCTTTCCAACATTTCTTTCCTATTTTTAGCAGTAACATACAAAAAATGTGTGTTCAAACTGATGTTTTTTAATAAAAACTCCCATTAGATACTATGGAATTATATGTGCATATGTGCTTTATTAAAATATGTGGTACGAAGTCTCCATGTAAGTGGTACGAAAAATCATGGTACGAGGTCTCAATGGTACGAGGTCTCAATGGTACGAAGTCTCCAAAACTGGCGGCGCAAGTTATCCCCCTTTTTCCGTTTACCGCCATGAGTTTGAATTATTTTTTTGTAATCTGTGCGTGCTGAAAATGGATGAAGAGGACATTGAAATATTCATAAAGAATTTAAGTCTTAAACTATGTGTTTACAGTTTTGATACCCTAGTCGCAAACCCAGGGTCTTTCAGTGCCCTAGGTGAAATTAACACAATTAGTGACACAGCTCCTTGTATCGGTTATGGAAAACTTTTAGTGGATTTTCTCAAACCATTTAAGGTAGATATATTTTCAATGCCAATAGGATGTTGGAGACTTCGGCTTTGCATCTTCCGTTTTACTATTTCGTTTCACTATTGGGATGGTTTATACCAAGACGTTTCACTCCCAAAAGGCCAAATGGGGTGAAACGTCTTGAACGTCAAGTTGAAGGGAATCCGGGTCAGCTCGGCCCTAAAACATACTCGGCCCCCGAGTCAGCTCGGCCCTATTCCAACTCGGCACGGGTCAACTCGGCCCACTTTTAAAAATGGGTAAAGGACATCAAAGGACTCCTATTGTCATGGGCTATTATTATCAATCAATGTGTATGTTAAAGATACCGATTAATTAGGTGATAATTATGATTGACTCATTCATTCAAATTTGATTAGTGACCACCTGCAATTAATATGAAGCTTATGCTATTAAGTAAACACCTTTTTGTTTCATTTTTTTTTTAAATTACTTTACAAACAAAATGCATCTCAGGAAACACATTTTTATTATATCTATATTCACAGGCACAAGTATCGGACCTGGGAAGAAAAAATATGAAGTTATTTTATCAATCTGTTCATATTTTTTCTTCCCAGGTTCGATAATCGTGCCTGTGTCTATATTAATTTTATCGAATCTGCAAGACAAATAAATAACTTTTTTTTCTAAATATACTTTATTTCAGCAGAGGTACAATGTATAATTATATAATAATAATAAGATATTTCTTATTATTCATTTACCTAAACAACATGCAATGCAAAGTAAATAGGTTATAGGCCTATATATTTTTGTAAAGTGGGCCGAGTTGACCCGTGCCGAGTTGGTATAGGGCCGAGTTGACTCTTTTCCGTTGAAGGTCCGTCCATCTTATATTTTTGTCTGGATCATAAGTAAAAAGAATTTGAGATATCAACTTGAAACTTCATAGGTGGATAGATATATTAAGGAGATGTGCAGCCACAAGTGTACAAGACTATTCTTCTAATTAATCAATTATCCAGTTACCTCTCTGGCGTGGGTTTGATCCCCGTTCCCCGGGAGATGCTTTGGTAGTTACTGTCTTGCGCGGAGGAAGGTAGTCTAGTACTGGTGTAACTCTCCAGGAGCGATGGTTAGTTTTTGACAGAATGATAGACTATTATCTCCCTTACCAGTTCCTCCCCCTGACTGTTTTGGCGCAAATCTTTTCCTCGTCTGACGGTTCTAACTTCTATCCCAAATTTGAAATATGCAGACAGTTCTCCCCCATTTTTTAGGGTACGTTACGATACCGAAATCAACTTGATTTCGGTAAAGTTACCGAAATCAACTTTTCATTACCGAAATCAACTCGTAAAAACCAACCTAGTTAAAATAGTGCTATTATTTCTTCATTATTTGATGAAAAATAGTAAAATGGACTTTCAGTTAAAAAATCTATTGAAAATATTTTATTTTAATGATGTTATTAACAAAATGTTATTATTGAGTTACTTCCCTTTGTTCTAAACAACCCGTTATATATGTGTTTAGCATTACCGAAATCAACTCGTAAAAACCAACCTAGTTAAAATATTGCTATTATTTCTTCATTATTTGATGAAAAATAGTGAAATAGACTTTCAGTTAAAAAATCTATTGAAAATATTTTATTTTAATGATGTTATTGACAAAAATGTAATTATTGAGTTATGTGTTTAGCATTACCGAAATCAGCGGTGAAGTTTAAATTATGTATATAATTAGTAGATAGTAGATTAGATAACTCTTGTAGAGCTCTATTTTATAGACATATTTCTGTTTTTAAGTTTCAACCATATCTAAATATTATCAATGTTGAACGGTTTTGTAAAGATCTCACTAGGTTAAGAGTATCATCTCATAGATTGCACAGAGACTCAGGTAGATGGACTAAACCAAATAGTACACCTTTAAATGATAGAAAATGTTTTTCATGTAATGTCTTAGAAGACTAATACCATTTCATATTAGAATGCAATGTATATAATGATTTAAGAAAAAGTCTGATACCGCCATATTAGCATGCTATATATCTGCACGTGATTGTCGTGCATAACAATTTTCTAAATAAAATCGTATTTTTAAAAAGCTATGATCGGACTATGATGGAAAAATAAAATATTCTGTAATATGAGTTAAAGATAATTATAAATTTTGTACATGTTTATGTTTTATGAAGAAAAAATATCCAACTTCAACCGGAAGGTTATGATTTTCTATTATAAATTTGAATACAGATACATAATTCGACTGCTCTAAAAATGTTCCATAAAAATTGTATGATGTATCAGGCAGTAAAATTGGAAATTTGAAAGTTTGTGTCTTTCTTTTATTGAACAGTACGTTTAACTATATATTAACAAATCACTAGCATATGTTATGGGGACTCTTTATTATAATATTTTTATATTTTAGTCATTTATTTAAATGTTTAATAGGAAATAAACAGATAGTTCATTATAATCTACATACAATATATGTCAACTGTACCTCCTGTCTTAATTACTTCACACCTTACTTAATACAGTAATACACAGCATGTCATATCGTACAAGTTACAACATTTCATAATTGAAATTTGTCAGTAAAAAGTGTTCCATTTTTTTCATCATATAAATATATACCAGTTATTCCATAAATTTATGCTGTTTACAGATATGAAATTTAAAATGATTTTAAATCGATCAACATAAAATCATGACTTAACACTTTTTCAATAGGTAGAATATGTAGTTAAGTATCCGGGACATCAAAAAATTGCATACATTTTTTGAACAACTGATGTGCAATTTGGTAATAATAATAATATCAAACCACCTTGTCTCATATACCGAAATGTTTTCTACGGAAACGTTTAGCGACCACCCCTACAAATTAGTTAAAACCGGTCTTTTGACAATTTATTATGCCCCCATTTCGAAGAAAAGGGGGTATATTGCTTTGCACTTGTCGGTCCGTCGGTCCGTAGACCAAATGGTTTCCGAGTGATAACTAAAGAACCCTCAGGCCTAGGAACTTCAAACTTGGTATGGTGATTGGTCATGACCAGTAGATGACCCCTATTGATTTTGGGGTCAAAGGGTCAAAGGTCAAGGTCACATTGACCTTGTAAGCAAAAACGGTTTCCGATCAATAACTAAAGAACCTTAAGGCCTAGGAACTTCAAACTTGGTATGGTGATTGGTCATGATCAGTAGATGATCCCTATTGATTTTGGGGTCAAGGGGTCAAAGGTCAAGGTCACATTGACCTTGTAAGCAAAAACGGTTTCCGATCAATAACTAAAGAACCTTAAGGCCTCGGAACTTCAAACTTGGTATGGTGATTGGTCATGATCAGTAGATGATCCCTATTGATTTTGGGGTTAAGGGGTCAAAGGTCAAGGTCACATTGACCTTGTAAGCAAAAACGGTTTCCGATCAATAACTAAAGAACCTTAAGGCCTAGGAACTTCAAACTTGGTATGGTGATTGGTCATGATCAGTAGATGATCCCTATTGATTTTGGGGTCAAGGGGTCAAAGGTCAAGGTCACATTGACCTTGTAAGCAATAACGGTTTCTGATCAATAACTAAAGAACTTTAAGGCCTAGGACCTTCAAACTTAGTAGGGTGATTGGTCATGATCAGTAGATGACCCCTATTGATTTTGGGGTCAAGGGGTCAAGGTCACATTGACCTCTTGGGTAAAAACGGTTTCTGATCATTAACAAAAGAACCCTTAGGCCTAGGAACTTCAAACTTGGTATGGTGATTGGTCATGACCAGCAGATGACCCCTATTGATTTTTGGGGTTAAGGGGTGAAAGGTCATCTCACATTGACCTTGTAGGTAAAAACGATTTTTGATCAATAACGAAAGAACCCTTAGGCCTAGGAACTTCAAACTTGGTATGGTGATTGGTCATGACCAGCAGATGACCCCTATTGATTTTGGGGTTAAGGGGTCAAAGGTCAAGGTCACATTGACTTTGTAGGTAAAAACGGTTTCCGATCAATAACGAAAATAACCTTAGGCCTAGGGACTTCAAACTTGATATGGTAATTGGTCATGATCAGTAGATGACCCCTATTGATTTTAGGGTCAAGGGGTCAAAGGTCAAGGTCACATTGACCTCTTAGGTAAAAACGGTTTCCGATCAATAACTAAAGAACCCTAAGGCCTAGGAACTTCAAACTTGGTATGGTGATTGGTCATGACCAGTAGATGACCCCTATTGATATTGGGGTTAAGGGGTCAAAGGGCAAGGTCACATTGACCTTGTAGGTAAAAATGCTTTCAAATCAATAACTTAAGAACCCTTTGGCCTAGGAACTTCAAACATGGTATGGGGATTGTTCATGACCAGCAGATGACCTATTGATTTTGGGGTCAAGGGGTCAAAGGTCAAGGTCACATTGACCTTGTATGTTAAAACGGTTTCCGATCAATTAACTAAAAATGCTTAGGCCTAGGAACTTCAAACTTTGTATGATGATTGGTCGTGACCAGCAGATGACCCCTATTGAGTTTTGGGTCAAGGGGTCAAAGGTAAAGGTCATGACCAGTAGATACTTGATAACCCTTATTAATTGTTTGATCACTGGGTCAGAAGTCATGCATAATAACCTTTTCACATGACTTATTGGCTGCTGATAGGGGGCATACATGTTTTACAAACATATCTTGTTTAATATAAAATTATATTTTTACCAGCTTACTAGATCTGAAATATGCATAATATAGAACAATAAAAAAAGTCTTTTGATACATATTATATAGGGATGGTCGCTATACGTCATTTTATAATAAACTGTAATGTATATTTTGTCTTAATGGAGTCAAGCAGCTTAATTTAATTTCATGTAAAATAATTATGTCTAATTATGTTGTTTGGATACTTTAAAGTTTCCATGCGCCGACGTATATTAAAGGAATGCGGTTAACGAGTATGTTAATTATGTCAACTAACACCTCCATTGTCCGAGCATGTGTATGCTTGCTCCTTATTAGTAAAGGTGTTATGATGAATGGCTACCG